GCCCCAGATATTGGATTTTTTGAACTACCAAAATAGTAGTTTCATGTGACCAACCTACACCAGTGCCTGAGTGGATTAAATACCAAGGAATAGGCCCAGATAGTTACTTTAGGAGTTCAGGAAAGGGAAGGGCCACAGGAGTCATGGTCTTTGCGGACAATGTGGTGCATGAGTAAACAGAGAGCAGAGGAAATGGGGCCTGCTAGGGTGGCCACAGGGGCATGGGTGTGAAGGTGGTAACCATCCTGGAGTGGAGTTCAAGTGAGCGACAAGCAGAGGAGCAGCCATCTTCCAGGAGTGGGAGTGATGTCAGGGAGTTCATGGGGACCGACGGGTGAGTTTGGAAGCCTGAGCCAAAGATCTGGGCCTCACAATAGTCCCCAGTCAGCCACAAAGGCTGTACCTCAAAGCCTTCTCTGTTCCTCCAATTCTCAGCCACCGCTACTGTGTATTGTTAACTTCTCCCACAAAATGCAGTTACAGTGTGCCTGGGGAAGAAGAGAGAGGTGAAGAGAAAAAAAAAAACACAAAAGAAAAGTAATCTTGTTTTGGCTGTTGGTCACCTTCCCAAACTGGATCTCCATCATTATTGACATAAAGATCAATGGAAGAATTCTAATATCTTCAGTAATAGTCTTGTGGCGTTGGCTAAGTGCGAATTGGTAGACACAACAAGCACAGATAAAACAAGGACAAAGTTTGGCTCATTTGTTCATTGCTGCAACACTATTTCACAGCCTTTTTCATGTCATAGAACATACAGAAATTGATCACATTTGTGCAGCAGTTCCATATAGAATGCCACTGGAAACCGGCCCATGACTCTAACTTCCTTGGGCCCCCTGCTTGCCTTTGGATAAAGCTCTTCCTACACGTGTAATCAATTCCTGGATACAGTGGCACATAATTTGGAAAACCTGCTGTAATAAACGTGAGAAAATATTTATCTGGAGTGTCAGGTCCTTACACAAAACATCCATATCTTTATAAAAGTTGTGTGTAACCAAGGAAATAGGGATCAAAATTCTCATTCTCTTTGGATTCTAAAAGTAATCTGAAATTGAAAACTGTTAAATTTTGAGTATTTATAGAGTTACAGGCATGCCCTTGTAAATAGCCCATTTGGTTTCTTTTAGTGTTTAGTCACATGGAATGAGAAGAATCAGTGTAATATAAAAATCACATTGAACAAGAAAACCTTATATCTCCTTGTTTATTGGTCCCAAAATGAGCAATCAGCCACCTGCCTGTGCTGTGGAGTCCCAGGGCTCTCACTACATCCAAGCGCTGCCACCACGTCTTCTGTGCCAGAGCAGAAGTGCTAGGAGCATATTTAGAAAGAAGTTTGGTGAAATAGGCAGTCAGAAATCAGATAGAGGAAAAAAATTTCATTCTTGCCAACTTCTCACAGGTCTTCAACAAGACTCTTCTTCTGAGGACTTCAGGGCCATTGTGGTTTGCTGCGTAACAAATCACCCCAAAACTCAGTGGGTTTAAACACCTACCATTTTCCATTTCATGATCCTTCTGCGCCAGGTGAGGTCTGTGGGCCCAACTGGACGGGAACACCCCAAATTGCTCACTTAAATGTCTGGAGCTTAGTGGGAATGCCTGGCAGGCTGGGCTCAGCTGGAACACTGAGATGGCTGGGCGTATCTCTCCCTCCATGTATTCTCAGGGCCTGTTCCTTCCGACATGGCCTCTGCATATGGTTCTTCTAGAAAGGAAATTGTACATCTTACCTGGTGGATCAGGTTCCAAAATCACAAAAGTGGAAGCTGTCAGGCCATCTCAGTGTTTAGTCCCAGAACTGCCACGACATTACTGTTAACTAGCATTCTGTTAGTCGTGGAGCCAGCCCAGATTCAGTGTGGAAGAGGGCTACCCAAGGCATGGAATCGGGAAGCATGGATCACTGGGGGCAAATTTGGCCACTAGCTACCCCAAGAACTAATACAACAGACACATTCCTTACGACAAGCAGGTACCAGAGAGCTAATGAAGCACAACACACATCCAGTAATTTTCAAGGTCATGTCAGTTTTCCCTCTCCAATAGGACTCATATCCATTTCCTAATTTCCTTTTTTTTCCTTCTTCTTTTCCCCAAAGCCCCCCAGTAGGTAGTTGTATATTCTAGCTGTGAGTGCCTCTAGTTGTGCTATGTGAGACGCTGCCTCAGCATGGCCTAATGAGCAGTGCCATGTCCATGCCCAGAATCCAAATGTGCGAAACCCAGGGCTGCTGAAGTGGAGTGTGGGAACTTAACCACTTGGCCATGGGGCTGACCCCCATTTCCTAATTTCTGTATTCCTTGTTACTTTCCTAATTCAGACATTCAGCACCTCTCCTTGAGGTGATTACAGTGGCCTCCTAATTGTCTTCCTGTCTCTAGTCACAACTCCTTGCATCTAACTCCTACACGGCCACTAGAGTTATTACGAAACATATATCTGATGAGATCACTTCCTGCTTGTCTTTGTGTAATGAGGAATCTTTAGAAGTTGTAAAGATCAAATTCTATATTAAAAGATATAAAGCCAATTACAGTTTTTCCCTATGTTTTCTTCTATTTTCATTGTCCACGCTTTTCCACCACATACTCCAGGTGTATATCAGCCATTTTAAAATTCTAACCATTTATGCACATTAAGCTCTTTCCTAAATCTGGGCCTTTACAGATGCTTCCCTCTTTGCCCAGAATATACTTTTCCCACTGTTAAACGCGCACGTGTCTACTCATCCTTCATGGCCCACTTCAGGAAGCATTATTTATTTCTTATCTGAAATCTCATAGGATGATACTTGTAACATTTTAGAAGTGTTAATGTATAAACTTTTAAAGCAATCACACGTGCTCCTTCTGGATCCCTCACTCTAGGATGAGGAAGGGGCCTTTATTACCTCACCAAAAAAAAAAAAAAAAAAAAAAAAAACCTACGTTTATCTTAACTCAAGGGACTTTCATTTTCTAACATGTCCTGGAACTGCTTCTTGTTCTCTTTTCATATTATGCATTAATTCAGATTCAGATTTACTTTTGACTTTAAATGAAGTGTTAAGATTTCTACCATCAATACGTTTACATGACAACACTTCAAAGACAGAGTTCCTATAGTGGGTTGAATGGTGGACCCCAAAATATATGTCCACATCCTAATCCATGGAAATTGCGAATGTGACCTTATTTGGACAAAGAGACTTTGCAAACGTAATTAAGTTAAGGATACCAAGATGAGGTCATCCTGGATTATCCAGGTGGCTCCTACCTCCAATGACAAATGTCCTTTTTGTTTGTGTGTGTGAGTAAGATTGTCACTGAGCTAACATCTTTGCGAATCTTCCTGTATTTTGTGTGGAATGCCACCACAGCATGGCTTGACGAGCAGTGCTGGGTCTGCACCAGGGATCCAAACCTGCGAACCCCAGGCCACTGAAGCTGAGCACATGAACTTAACCACTACACCACCAGGCGGGTCCCCTACAAGTGTCCTTTTAAGAGACTTACAGAGGAGGCGGCCGGCCTTGTGAGGTCTTCTCGCTCAAAGGAGGTAGAAGTTGGAGTGACACAGCCACAAGCCAAGGGATGCCTGGAGGCACCAGAAGCCAGAAGAGGGAAGGAAGGATTCTCTCCTAGAGCATTCACGACCCTGCCAATACCTTGACTCCAGCCTCCTGGCCTCCAGCACTGTAGGAGAATAAAGGTTCTCTTTATTTTTGAGCCATCATATTTGTGGTAATTTGCTATGGTAGACATAAGAAAGTAATAGTCTCCCACAAGAAACATTTCTAAATAGCTACAACCATCCCTTGAGTGTTTACAGTCATGGAAGGGTACATTTAGATTAGTCTTTGAAATATTTTGAGTTCAAACTCTCACATATTATATATGCAAACATACCTATTTATCATTTAACAAATATTTGAGTATCCACTATTTAGCAGGTATAGAGTAGTTTCTGGGAACATGGAGATGAACAACAGACAAATATTTATTGAGTGCCCACCACATATCAGGGACTTTCCTTGTGATAAATCAGTGAACAAAATAGGCAAAATTCCTTGTTTTCACAGACCCTTCATCCCAGAGCAGCAGTGTCCAACAGGACTTTCTGAGATGGTGGAATGTTCTGTGTCTGCACTGTCCACTAGCCAATAGCCACATGTAGCTATCAAATACTTGAAATGTGGCCAGTATGACTAAGAAACTAAATTTTACTTGACTTTAACTAATTTAAATTTAAGTAACCTCGTGTGGCTAGTGGCTACCGTATGGGACAGCCGAGTTCTTGAAGATGACACATACATACAGGGTCCAGGAGGCCACCTCAGACAATTGACAAGTCATTATAACACAGGCTGACAAGTGCTGCGAAAACTGAGACTGAAATTCTTGGAACCGTAGGAAGCTACTCCATCCAGGAGTTTTGTTTAAATAAAAATCTTAGAGAAATTCATGTCTGATAGATAAGACATTTTTCAGATTGTAGCGATCTTTAAAAATCCCTGGTATATGGAAATGAACACAGTGGGACAGCAGATATGAGTTTTAAACTGGATAAATTATAAATGGAGTAATCCGTATGACTACAGAGAGAAAGATTTGTTTTATCTTCCATTTTGAAATCATGAGTGTCTAAGAATAAATTATGAGTCTTTTCCACATTTGTTAAAATGTCTGTGACTTAATATGTTTCATCAGCACATGCACAGACACAGACTATATGATGCTGGACGAAACTGGAAATGACAATTAAAGCTTTTTATTTCTGTCTGATGCTCTAGTCTTACACCACAGAATTCATTTTTAAAGGGCAAACTATTTCTCCCTAAATAATATCAGGCTCAGTAAACTCTTTCCAAGCCTTGGCAAACATATCTAACACTTGAATTAGAAAGTAATGTATAAGAAATTGGTTATAAAATCAGCAATTTTTGAGTCCTGCCACAGGGGGGCAGCATCTGCAAACACAGACCCTCCCCTTCTTAAGCTGGGTCAGTAGAATAGTGGAAGTCTGATTAGCAGTCTCAAATTGCAGTCACTCCTTCACTTTTCTTTCCAAAAGGCAGTGGTAGACACCATTTCCTTGGGTCCTGAAAAAGCTTGTACAAGGGAAACCCATTTAGGAGCAGCCAGATTCAGCAACTCTTTCTGAAGAGGATGAAGACGGAGAAGCTACTCATGGTACCAGTGCTGATCATATGGATGCAAGTATCACGTGAGTCTGAGATTTCCCCGATTGCTTCCAGATAATTCAACGTAGTGGAATATTATCTGCAGGCATCTGCAAGAATGAGTGTTTCTGATTGAGAGCAAAGAATTTGAAGGAAAAAAAAAGCTAAAAAGAAAGAAGATAGAGGGAGTTGGGGAGGTAGACATGGGAAGGAGAAAAATAGACAAGAATGAGAGAGACCATTGTAGTTCAGAGAACACAGATCTAATCAGACTTTCTCTGATGCCTCCCATTGTTTTTCTGAACAGAAGTGAATGGACAACAGATACAGCAAATTCCTCCATCCCTGCTCCTACAAGAAGGAGAGAACTTCACCACATACTGCAATTCCTCAAGCACTTTCAATAGCTTCCAGTGGTATAAGCAGAGGCCTGGGGGAAGTCCTGTTCTCTTGATAATATTGCTTAGCGGTGGAGAAGTGCAGAAGCAGGAAAGGCTGGCAGCTCAGTTTGGAGAGACTAGAAAGCACAGCTCCCTGCACATCACGGCCGCTCAGACTGCAGATGTGGGAACCTATTTCTGCGCAGGGGCACAGAGCTCTCGAAGCACCTGCTGCCTGTCCCCAAACCTTGCTGTGGGCTCCAGGAGCAGCTCCTCCTTATCTCTCCTCAAAGCAGGAGTAAGAGAAAGCTTAAGTCACAATGTCCATGAAAAACTTAAATTTGTAATTAAAAAAATTGTCAAGCTCTGATGGTTTGGTTGGAGAAATGTTTGAAGAATTAGCATGAATTCTACAAACTTTCTTCTGGAAAATACCAAGAAGAAAATAATTCCTAACTCATTTTACAATGCTAGTATTACCCCGATACTAAAATCAGACAAAGACCATGCAAAAAAGAAAACTACAAATTCCCCTCATGAATATAGATGCAGCATTTCTTAACAAAATATTAGCAAGTAGAATTCATCGGTATATAAAAAGAATAATAGGTGAAACGCAAATTAATTTTTTTATTTTGAGGGATGCAAGGCTGCTTCAATATTTGAAAATCAATCAGTGGAATCCGCCATATTAGCAGGCTAAAAAAGAAAAGCCATATGATCATATTAATCTGTGCAGAAAACAAAATTTGCCAAAATTCAGCAGTCAATCATAGTAAAAACTCTGAGAAACATAGGAATAGTGGGGAACGTCCTCAACAGCTAATAATATGCTTACTGTAAAAGACTATATACTTTTTCCCTAAGGTCAGGTACAAGGCAGGAATATCCACTTTCATTCCATATAGTGACGGACGTTCTAGCCGGTGCAATAAAGCAAGTAAAGGTAAAGACAATCGTCTAGACCAGACAAGAAGAAGTAAGACTTCCACCATTTGTAGATAACAGGATTATTACATAAAAAATACCAAAGACTATACCAAAAACACCTCCTAAAACTATTAAAGGTGTTCAGCAAGGTCACAGGATACAAGACAAATGTACAAAAATCAAATGTATTTCTATATACTAGCAACAAACACGTGGACACCTAAGTTAAAAATACAATCCATTTACAATGGCTCAAAAAAGACCCCAAGTCCTTAGATGTAAATCTAAGAAAACATACACTGAACTTTTATGCTGAAAACTACAAAATGCTGAGGAAAGAAATAAAAGACAATGAAGAGACATCCTGTTTGTAAATTGCAAGACTCAGAACTGTAAATCTGGCAATTCTCCTCAAATTGATGTATATATTTTACATTGTTCCTGTTAGTATTCTTTATAGATAGAGGCAAGATTATTCTAAAATTTATATGAAAAGGCAGAGATGTTAGAATAGCTAAAACAATCTTGAAAACAGAAGAAAGTGGGAGCAATCAGTCTGTATGATGTCAAACTATAGCCACAGAAATCAAGATTATGTGTTATTGGTGCAGTGATAGACACAGAGATCAGTGGTAAAGATAGAGACCCATAAGTAGATCCACACAAATACATCAAACTGATTTTTTTTTATAAAAATGCCAAAGAAATTCAATGGAGGAAACAAATTTTCAACTTATGATGTTGAAGTAAGTAGACATCCATAGGCGAGAAAAATGAACATTTAAGTCGCACACTTTATACAAAAATTAGCTTAAAATGGATCACAGACTTAAATGTCAAGTGTTAAACTATAAAACTTTTAGAAAAGAGCATAGGACAGAATTTTTGATATATAAGTCTAGGCCAAGAGTTCTTAGACTTAACACTGAAAAGCACAGGCCATACAATATTTTAAAAAACGATAAATAGGACTTCAAAATTAAAATCTTTACCCTCAAAAAGACTCTCTTAAGAGGACAAGCTACAGACTGAGAAAAGTGATTTGCAAATCATAAATTCTACAAAGGACCAGTATCCAGAATATATAAAGAACTCTCAAAGCTCAACAGTAAATAAAGCAAACAGTCCAATTAGAACTTGGGCAAGGAAACATTTCACTAAGAAAGATATACAGATGGCAAATGAACACATGAAAATAGATTCAACATCATTAGCCGTTAGAGAAATGTTACCTAAAACCACAATGAGATATCGCTACACACCTATCAGAATGGCCAAACTAAAATTTCTGACTCCATCTTTCCAGAAGCAGAATTTCTTTTCACAATTTTAGCCATTTTAACGTGCCTGTAGTGGTATCACATTGTAGATTTAATTCACATTTTGTTGATGAGCAATGATATTGAGCATATTTTTGTAAGCTTATTGGCCATTTGGAAAATTTCTTTTGAGAAGTGTCAATTCACATGATTTGTTCATGTTTCTTTGGGTTGTAGGTTGTCTTATTTTTACTATTTTAAAATTTATAGACAAGTTTACACATTCTGTATTAAAGTTCTTTGTCAGATATACGTAGCTTAAATATTTTAGTCTTGTCTGTAACTTGCTTTTTCACACCCTCAATGGCATATTTGGGGAACATGAGTATTTAATTTTTAAGGAGTGCAATTTATTATTTTTTTCTTTTATGGTTAGTTTTTTGTGTGTGTGTGTACTTTTAAAGAAATATCTGCCCTCTCCCAAGGTCATAAAGAAATTTCTTCATTTGTTTTAGAAGATTTGTAGTTTCACCTATCACGTTTACAGTTCTCATCCACCTAGAATTAACTTTTTAAGTGGTGTGAGGGAGGAGTCAAGGTGCTTTTAAAAACACAAATAGCCAATTGCTCCCGCACTTATCCTAAAAAGATCATTTTGTCCCCCATTAAATTATATAGGCACATTTGGAGAAAATCAATCGACAGTGATTGTATATGGGTCTATTTTTAGATTTGATTCTGCTTATTGACCTGTTTATTTTATCCTCTTACCTATAGACCATTCTGTCTTTATTACTGGGGCTTCATGTACATTTTGAAACATGGAACGCAAGTCAAACTTCCTCCTTCTGTTTCAAGGCTTATTCTAGATCTTTGTACTTCCACATAAATTATAGAATTAGCTTCTCAACTTTTACCACAAAATGATCTTAGTAATTTGACTGATATTGTGTTGGATTTCTGGGTCAATGTGGGTCAATTGATATCTTAACATATGGAATCTTCAGATTCATATGCTATCCTCTTCATTTATATAGGTCCTCTCTAATTCCTTTTATTAATGTGTTTTAGCTTTTATTCTAGAGGATTTGCAAACCCTCATTAAACTCATTCCAAGGTATTTGATAAACAGCATTTTAATTTTATTTTCCAATGCTTTCAGCTAGAATTTAGAAATAAAATTGATTTCTGTGTTTAATAACGTTAATTAATCTATTCTACTTCGTTGAATTTGTTTATAGATACTTTTGTATTTTCTATATATCAAATGTATCATCTATGAATAAAAATGGTTTTACTTCTCCATCTCCAAACTATATCCATTTAATATCCTTTTCCTGACTTGATGCCAGGCTGTCAGTATGAGAGTGAATAGAAGTAGTGATAGTGTATCTCTTTGTCTTATTTCTGACCTTATGGGGGGATAATATTGACTTTGGACATTTTCATGGATACCTTTTATCAGATTCAGGAATTTGCCTTTATTGCTGGATTGTCGAGAGTGTTCATCATGCAAAGGAGTTCACCTTTTATCAAATTCTCTTGCTGTTTTGAAAATAAACTGAGTACATTATTTTGGTTTTCATCAAGCAAATGAAGATGACCTCACTTCATATGGTCATGGAGATGATACAATCTTCCAAAATTCAAGACTCTGAAAAGTATTGTTGGAGTCTTTTGTTCAAAATGTTTTCCATAAAATTGGAAGATTCTATTTAGTATAATTTAAAGTGTTGTTCAGCATAACTTCTACTAAAGTAATGAATAATGACTCGTGTCATTCAGAAAACAGGGAATTCTTGAGTGTCTAGTCTGTAACAAGCTCTCTTATAAACATTGATTAATGTGGGCCTTTGAGCCAACCTTTAAATATGAGATTAGAGAGAAAAGGAAAATTGAAGAGAAGCCACCAACTGAGAATCATAATGGTGATGTTACTGAAATAAAGTAATCAAAAACAATAAAAATCTTCCTTGGAGTTTTTGGAGTGTTGGGAGAAAACCAAGATGAGTACAGAGGTGTTACAACTCACACGTCCAACTTCAAATCTGAGGAAAGCGTCTCTCAGAAGTTCGCAGGCTGACCTTTGGCCTGGTTTGAGTTTTTCGGTTCATCTGTTCAGTCACAAGAGGGAGCTGCTTCATCTGCAAACTTGGTTTCTTCCTGGGAGAAGGGAAGGTAAGCCTGTATTTACCACTAATGTTCCATAGAAAACGGGAAAAATGACACATTTCATCCTCTTTCATGACTCATACTTTATAATTTCTTGCTGAGTGTGTGAGCTCAAGGATTCAGATCCCTTAGCCCAATAGGCTGAGCCCTTTCCTGTATCTCCCTAAACACTTTCTCTCAGTTCCCCTCCCCTGATGATCGCTTGCCTTCCCCATTCCTTATACTCTTTTTCCTTCCTTCCTCTAGCTTTTTCTACTAGCCCCCCTCCCCCCCTTGTTTGCTTTCCCTTCTCTCTTTTCTTTCTGCCCCAGCATCCTTGGTGCCCAGCACCCATAAGCATAGGCTTAGAAGAAATGAGTATCAAGGACGTTTGTTCCAGGAGGATGAGAGTGAGCACCATGCACGTCATCAGTTACCTTATCAGGAATAGATGCATTGAGAAATGTCTCCCTGGACGTCAGCAGATACATGATTCCAAGGACCTTTGGAGGAAACTTGAGCTCTAAGAGGTTGTCTGGTTGATAGTCTCCCCTTCTTCTTGGGGACATGACTAAAGCAGGGGAGGAAGATCTGGACAAGGAACTGCTCTCTCATTGGCTGACAAGGTGCTGGCGACAATACAGTGGCAGCTGCACTCTTTGAAAATCTTTACTAGTAGCTATTGTTTCTGTTCTCTGGAACCTCTTTAAGCCTAGGATCAGACACAAAGACTGAGCTCCGGGCCCATGATCCTAGTTTGTCCCTGAAGTATGAGGCTGGTGACTGGAGTAACTGTGTTTCTGACCTTGGGTAAGTGCTCTGTATCTACCAAGGGATGACTTTGAAGCCAAAGGAACTTGAAGAGTTATTTCCTCTCTACTCCTCTCCCTAAGGTTTATCCAACATGCTGTGGATGGAATTGAGAACTGATCTACGCATTTGTCTAGGAGCACAAAGTTCTACACGATTAAGACATAGCCATGATTCCAAAAGAGCCTTTAGCAGTATCCAGGTTGTAAGAAATCTCTGGGTTCATTGAGCCAAGGGCCAATGGAACAGAGTCTGTGGAGTCTCTGATTCTTGCCGTATGTCTTTGTCTCCATAATGAACATCAATGATATTTTTGTGTTCTAGCAGGATATAAATAAAAACAGTGGATTGTGGAGTATGGGCAGAGAGTTAAGTTATGGGAGTGTTGTGTCCTTGGTCCACAGAATTACATTGATTTGTATTCTGGAGCTAATTTGATTTTCTTGACCCCTTAGGGACTGTGATTGATGCTAAGACCACCCAGCCCAATTCCATGGATTGTGCTGAAGGAGAAGATGTAAAATTGCCTTGTAACCACTCTACCGTCAGTGTGGATGATTATATACACTGGTATCGGCAAAATCCGAGTCAGAGTCCACAGTATATAATTCATGGCTTACGAGACAATGTGACCAACAACAAGGCCTCTCTGACCATCGCAACAGACAGAAAGTCCAGCACTTTGATCCTGCCCCAGGTCACCTTGAGAGACACTGCTGTATACTACTGCATTGTGAGAAAGGCACATTGGGACAGATGGGGCTGCACCTGTGCAATATCTCTCTGGAGGCAAGGGGGCAGGGTGGGAGGTAGCAGCCATCAAAAGCAAATCTGGAAGGAGAGTCAGAGAGCAATAAGAAAGGAGGAAAGTTTTTTAAATTTATTTAGAAGTCTTGCATCTCTAAAGAGTTTTCAACATTTTTTGATATTCCCTCAGCAACACACAGATCCATCTCATCATAGAACGCTCATGGGGAGCAAAAGTGAAAGCCCAGAGCTGAGTCTCCTTCATTCCACACCAGCTCCCACTGTCCTCTCAGAGAAAGCCAGTTCTGATAGTTTAAGGTGTATCATGCCAGCCTCTTTTCTTTCAATCACATATATATATATATATCTTTGCATATAAGTTGATGCAATTACATACACATTTACATGCACACATATACACACACACAGACAATTGGACTTTTTTGAAATTTTTCACAACATCCCTTTTGATTTTCATGCAGTAAAGTGTCCTGGAGATATCTCTACAGTAGAAAAGAAGTAGAGAAGTCCATTTAATTCTTTTTGATGCCTATTTAATACTTTGAAACATTCCATCATTTAATGAATTACTTTCCGGTTGGTGCAAATTTGTTTCTATTTCTTTGCTATCATAAAGAAAGTTGCCTTATACATCTTTGTCGATTCACTTTTGTAGAGATTTAGAAGTGTCTGTTTTAATGAGATTTCTGAAATTGGAATTGCTATATCAAAAGAAAATTGCATTTAAAATTTTTGGAGAAAGTGACAACTTGTTCTCCATAAGGTGTTAACAATTATACTCCAACCAACAGTAAATGAAAATGCTTATTTTACATCCTTGCACAAATTGGGAATTATGAGTATTTTTTATTTTAACAATACAAATATACTTTATCTATATTCATTTTCACGATTTCCTGATTACTAGTGCTTTTTAGCAACTTTTTATCCATATATTGGCCCCTGTTTGACCTTGGTCATATGATTATTCCCAACTTTTGACCATTTTTTTGTTAGGTTCGTTTTCTTTTTCTTTTTCTTTATAGAAATTATTTCTATATCTTAGATAGTTCTTTGCTTTTATATTTGTTTGAATATTTTATTCTAATATATAACCTTTTAATTTGTTTATTTTTAATGTGGCTGTTTTTTACATTGTCAAATCTATCATGTATTTATTTATTTTTTTGGCTTCAAAAGTCGGTGTCCTTTTAGGAAAGCCCTAAATATATTATATCTTTTAATCTTCATTACTATTTGGGAAAGAATTATTCTGAGACTTATGTTACATGTTAGAAAACTAAATTTCAAAGAGATTTAAAAACTTGCCAATATTCGCAGTCTGAAAAGTGTTAGCACCAACTTTTTTTTTCTTTCTGCTTTTTCTCCCCAAATCCCCCCAGTACATAGTTGTATATTTCAGTTGTGGGTCCTTCTAGTTGTGGCATGTGGGATGCCGCCTCAGTGTGGCCTGACAAGCGGTGCCATGTCCGCGCCCAGGATCCAAAACAGGGAAACCCTGGGCTGCTGCAGCAGAACGTGTGAACTTAACCACTCAGCCACAGGGCCGGCCCCCCAGCATCAACTTTTTAATTTATTTTTAAATCTGAGATTGTCAAGCTCCAGAATCTTAGCATATGTTGTTCAATCTTGCCTTACGTGAAGAAACAGGAAGAAGGAGACTCCCAAATAATGAATCAAATGGAAAGTCAGTGGGATGGATCATAGTACCCATCCCAGAAGGTGACGCACGTTTTAGAGCAAAATGTCAAAATGTTAGAGTAGGAATCATGAGTTACAAGATGAGAAAAGCAATATTCCCCAATCCCATAAAGAGACAGTACTAGCCCCTGAAATATTCAAATAGAAGCAGAAATGCATGTTGATTTTAGAGAAATTCTGAAGCATACTCAGGTCTGTATTAGCCATGCATTTTCCCAAGTGGAAATGATATAAAAGAAATTAGTACACAAGGCAGAGAAAACAGGAGCAAGGAGCTCCCAACCTTGATGTGAGTGGCATTCAAGACATTCTTGGATCTTCACAAAGACTGAGAAATTTGTCCTGGTACATAAGAGTTGCACACAAATGTAAACTGCTATGATTATCACACTTTGGAAATTGCTCGGGATTCCATGAGTGAGAGATGAGGGAACAGATATTTGTTCACCAGTCCTACAAAGTGCAGTGGAAGGCGCTAGTGGCAGTTTCCAAAGATTAGCATATCTCTTTCAAGATCCCTCCCCTTGCTTTTTTCACTTATTTCCTCTTCTTCACAGCTTTTGACCTCATTTTACTTTTGTTCTAAGGCCATCCTCTGCATCCCCATATTTAAAAACAGAAATGCGAAACTTTTTTTTCATCACTTTTGTTTGCTGAAGTATCCTCAGTAACTAACGCAGTACCTGACAAATAATAGATGCTCAATAAATATTTATTGAACAGCTAAATATTCATGACTGAACATTTTACTGACAAATGCTAGGGATACAATAAAATGCTGGTGGGCATGAGTTAGACCTTCTATAACAATATAAGAATGAGCTCAAGAATATTACAAGCATATCATAATCTTTTCTTTCCTTTATTCCTTTTTCCAATCATTGTTAATAAAATAGTTCCCCCAAGTACTTTGTTAAGCTCTTTCTCTGAAACTTCAATTCCTTACGACTCAAAATTCTCTTTATCTGTGACATTCTTCACAGATCATGCCAAGTGGTGTAAATTTCTCCTTCCACTGTTAGAATTATTAATATATTGTGTTTGTCAGAAGGTGGCTGACACCAGATATTTTGAAAGGTTAGGATGACTTTCAGCTAGAAACTCCTGGAAAGGGGCAGAAAATTCTCCTAACTTAAAAATAAAGGAAACAGAAAAAAAAGAAAGAATGATATTTAGACGACAGATGATACTCACAGCCAACCCATTGCCATTGCTACAAGCCAAGAAGAGGCAGAAGGTACACACGATGACTCAGCAATGCTAGGCCCCCAGGAAACACAGTGCTTGCCAACCTAAAGTAGCGCACAAATTTAGATTTTTCTTATATTCTTCTTTTTTTCATCCCTGTTCAGAAATAATCCTCTGCAAATCAAAAAAATCATTTGACTGATCTTCCACTGTTTTCTGTTTTGAAATATGTTTCTAAACTTATCTTCATAAATTACAAAATTAACAAGTAGTTGTTATTGAACACAAACATAGCTTTGTTACCCAATGTGCGTGAAAGCCAGTAACTGAAATGTCAGGCTTGTAGCAAGGAGAGCGGTTTGTTATCGAAAGGCAACCAGACAAAGAAGTAGGAGTTAAAACTCAAATCTACCTCCTGGATGGGAAAAAGGTAGGGGTTTTATTTGGGGTTTCAGGTAGGGGAGAGGGAGCATGTGCTGGGGTTTTAGGTGAGGGGCAGGAGCATGTGGTCTTGCTGGCAGGCTACTTCAGCCTGTGTTGGTCTTGAAGACTGAATCTCTTATTTCCTTGACTGTCTGGACTTTTCTGGTTAGTTTTCATCCTCTGACTGTGTTTGGCCTTATGAGGCTGAATCTCCTTTCTTCTTGATGTCTGGACCTTGACTGCCTGGGAAAAACTGCTCACTCCTATACTGAGGAAGGACGGAAAGACCTGGTTAGTCTTAAGCAACAGTTGATGATGCTGAGTATGCACAGCTGCCATTAGCAAAGCTTACCTCAAATTTTTTTCTCTCTTTTAACTCACTCATTCTCAGTTTCATAGTTTTTAATGGAACTGTCTTTAGTTCTAAAACTAGTTTGACCACTAGAGATTACCATGAGTAAATGATCTCACAAGAAAATAATGAGTTAAGAACTCTGAGCTCCATTGGCACATTGTTTCTTTTGACTTCTACTTTCTGCAAATAATATGGATCCAGTCAAGGAGAGACTGTTAGCAGTGCACATTGAGGATTCTAATGTTCCACACACACCACCTGTTAGGTACATCTGAGAGACTGATTCTAAAGCTGG